AAATATGCTGAATCATCAGATTTTTCTAATAAAATTGTTATTCGTCGGAATTATAATTTCTGTCAATATAATGGCTACAAATCTAGGTTACGAGAAAATCCACCACCCCATCCTAGTTTTTCACGTAAACCTGACTTTGTTTATCAGCCTTATGTAAACTTTATCAAGGTAAATCAAGATAAATTCGATTTAATGTTTCAAAATGGATGCAAGTTATCAGAAATTAAAAATAATTTCGAAGATTTAATTGATATTGATGCACATGATGGTCCTGTAATGTTAGTCTATTTTATAAATGACTCAAATCACTATTATTCATCCGATTGGTTTCAGGCATTGAGACATGCTTCTGGTGGTTCTTTCGCTGGTTATTATACAGTATGTCTGGGTGATTATTGTTCTTTCGGACCCAAAATTCGTGGACAACAACAATCAGACTCACGAATCAATCAGATTGTGTTGATTCTTACAAAAAAATGACAGACAGAAACGGTGTGGTTACTATTCTGTCGGTCACTGGAAATGTCCTACAAAAGCTGCTCCATTTGAATGTAAAAGTAGACGAAGCCAATTGAAAAGTCAACGCAAAAACAAACATATATTAACCAAAGAAGTTACGATATCTGAGAATCTGTATTGAATGGAATATTTGTTATTAAATCGTGGAAATCGTTAATGGACTTACATCTATATATGCACGACCAGATGGGAGACCAATGGTCAATTTCCCATTTCATTTGGGGATTTACCCATTGAAATTTTACTTTTTCAAAATTGTTCATTTAATTCTGAAGTAAATTGTGATTGTATTTTTTTCGTCTGTTTGAAGCACACGTGCACTCTTTGCTTGTTCTTTCTGTGAAGAATTAAGAAAAGAATCTCTGCTTTATTTTAATTGTATATCTGGGTAAACATGTAAGGATTTACTTAAAATTGATGATGACTGGAGAAAAATGATAAAACGAAGTAATTAAAGTGAGGCACAATGTATTATATCCAAATGTCCATTTTTTATTAATTTTCTTGGCAACATTGCCTGTATCAGTAGGTTCTGCTGAGAGAAATTTTAGTCAATTATCGAGAACTAAAAGTTTTTGTAAGTCTACAATGAAACAAAACAGCCTAAAGGGACTTGCTGCTGCTGTTTATATTCATAAAGATCTCGATATAAATCCAGATAAAATATTAAAAGCAGGATGTGAGTGTGCTCTTGCGAAGAGTATGACGTCCACACCCGCACTCGCCCTCATGGATTTAATGTCACAAACTCGATATGAAGATTTTTAGTGTTTGATTTATTCAACAAGAGATAGTGACCAATTGTTGGTATAATACTGATAGTTAATCGTCTTGAGGATGAGTATATATTGTCTTTACTGTCTATTTGACATTCATATTAAAAGAAAATTGTTATTTTCTAACAAGTTTTTCGATATTTCGATATAAAACTAAATAGATTGAGTATAAATCAATGATAAGAATGATCCATATTTGTTATAAGTTTGAAGAATATTTTCAAATAGAAGAAAAGCACAATAAAAGTATTAAATCTTAGACGGAAAGTTTTTTCGATTATTCTCCTTTGATATTTCCATTTAGACATAATTCCTATTGATAACTATACTGAAAATATGAAAATATTTCTTAGTTCTTTTTATATAGTTATTTCTAAATAGATTTATCAAGGATAAGAAAAATGATGACTAATAAAGAACGTAAGAAAAAAAAACATTTCGTTACAAATATCGTTTTTTAGATGACGAAGAAATAAAGAATATGAAAATGAATGATGCATAAAATGAATACACATGTAGCAGATGTTGAATATTTCTCTATAGTTTTTAAGTAAGGTTTTCATTCAAAAGAATCAATTTATATTATTTTCTTTTAACATAAAATAATTTCTTTCAAATTTTGTAAATAGATTAAAGAAAATAATATTAGTAAGAAAGTTAAATGAATTGAATAGAGATTTTATAATAAGAAAATATTTTTATGTAACAATAACTCCTGATTCAAAATCTCTGTCTAAATCAATATACGAATGAATAGAAAAATTGTTTTACGAAAAACTTTTCATTTTATTGTTAATATCATTGTACAATATTATATTAAAAGAAAATATGTTTCATTTTTTCTGATTATTACTGTTAAATTATCTAACATACGAGAGATTTTTTAAAAATCCAATTTAGAAATTTGAGATTAAAATACGAGATTTTTAATCTAAATCTTTAATCTTATGTGAGTAATAAGAAAATTCTTCGTCAGTTACAATTGATATTAGTTATAAAAAAAGTTATTTCATGTACTAATAATTAGTGATTAATCTTCAATGATTTTCTTTTTCATTTTTAACGGTAAAACATGAAATTATTTACACGTAAACTTTTTTTTTATTGTTAAATTTAGAAGGTCTTATTACTAATTCAATTAATTGATCAATGTTTTTTTTATAAAATTGAACGTTTACATTAATTTATATATAGAAATGATGTAACAAAATAGATAAATAATAACTCTACATGCAATTTGACATCGTGAGGAAAGAAAAAATTCTCTAAAATCGATGATTTGTATTTGTTTATTTCTGAAAGGCTTCTATGCTTATTTATTATCGCTCATTAATTAAAAATGTTGAAAAAAGAATGAAAAAACCATAAGTGAGAAGTAGAGTTATAGATTAATATAGAATCATCTAAAATAAATTATGCGTTATCACAGAGAAACGTTTTTGAGACGAATGATTGTGATTACAACGCTTATAGTACGATCATTTCTGGAATTATCCAATATCATTCATGTCATAGTAGTCATATTCATGACAAAACTAATCTTTTTTTGTTTTAAATATCTGTAATTTTAATTTACTCTTCAATTTATAAATTCTTAAATAATTAGTATGTAATTTATAAATGATTACTAAAATCAATGATTGAACACGTTGTCATGACATAAGAATGTGACTATGAAACTTGTTGGAGATTTTTATAGGATTTATTTTGTAATGGTGATAATATAAATAATAGTTGAATAGAATAGTTAATATTTCAGTTCAATTTGTAATATTTTAAGAGAATAATAAATTAATAAATCTTGTGTAATATTTCGTATAACACTAATAGTTTTTTTATTCATTTTATTTAAGTGAACATTTGAATAACTTTTTCAATATCTTTTCTCACTTATATCATTGTATGTCAAAGTTACTTTTTATCTGGCAGAACAGGAATTGTAGGATTGACTGTAGATATAATGTATCAACAAACAATTAATTAGAATTATTTTCTTAAAATATCTAATAAAAATAAATAATTATTTTTTATTTTTGATTCCTATACAATATGAAAAAGTCGACATACGTGCGCAGGTGAAATCAATATTGATTTCATTTCGAAAGAAAAACAAAAGAAATTCTATAAATGATGCGCTTGACATGAAAAAGATGAATTTAATACTAAAACAGATCTTTTCAAACACATCATACTCATATTTATCTTTACTCACACTTGTTTTTTATTATAAAACTCAGATTAACAAGCGTTAAGAATGAAAATATGAAATAAATAAGCATCATTATCTATTTATTTTGATATTCATTTAACAATGATTAAAATATAAGGCAAAGATTTCTTTGGTGTATCATTTATTAAATCAGTTTTAGATCACAAAAATATCTCAAACTTATTATTTTATTCTTCTTGAAGTTAAAAAGTTTCAAATTAACCTATAGAGCATCTGATCATTTTCAATAAATCGACGAACTACAGATGATTTTGATCATACAAAAGAATGACGTCGATGGACAAGTCATTGAAAATTCAGGTATTTAAAAAATCTAAGATAATTAATTGTACATTGTAAAATACATAAATAAAATCGATAAAAAAAAACAAGATTTTTCTCTTTCCTTTTCATAGCGTATCTATCCGTCTTGACTCATTGGTCTTCTTAACCACATGTAATTTTTAGTAAGAGCAATCGACGACGATATTATAGAATAAATGTATAGAAGAATAGAGTAATCGATCATTGTTTAATAGAACGAAAGAAAAGCTTACTTGTATATTTTAGAAATATTCTTTATCTTCACAAAAATAATACAAAAGGCAATCACGCATAACAAACAGAAAAAAAAGCGTCTGATAAAATATTTTTAAATATCGAAATAAAATCGACTTTTACGTATCGAATCGTGTTCTAATCTTATCTTAAGATTTTGATTAATAATTGTAAAAAATAAAATGTATATATTCTGATATTCGAATAGCTAAAAAGAAAATGTTTCATTTCAAATTGATATTAATATAAAATAAGATAAAGAAGAATTTGATTATTTTAATTTTATCTTATTTCTTAAATAACTAATTAAACATTTCGAGAAAATCAAAATCTTTTTATTTAACATTTTACTTTATATTTGGAGATTTTTAGAATGAAATAATTTAATTATTCTCATTTAAAAAATGTAAATATTCAATTTTAAGATGATCGAGCTGGATAATATTTTCTATATGGTATCGAACTATTAGTAGAAATGAATTCAAATTCGACTCCCTGATTACTTATTTTATCAAGAATTTCATTAATTAAAAGAAAATTTCAGGGTGTGGATGAAATCATATATTCGACTAAGGCCCACACTCACCCTCAAGTAAATAAAATATTATTTTAATCTATCACACTACTAACAATTCTTATATAAAATACAATAATTCAAATAATAATTCTATTCTAGTTGTTTTTTTCCAAAATGATACAAGAATTCTATCTTAATTTAAAGTAATAATTGATGTCAATTTTTTTCTCTTTATTCTATTTGATTTGTAGAAGAACTCAAACCAGAAAAATACTATTATAGTAAAAAAAAACTACATTTCTCTACCGTAATAAAAAAATCAGTTGTAGATTATGTTTACAATTAAAATAAATATTTTTTTCTTATTATACGTCGATTACAGTTGAATATCGATAGAAATGTCATCTTGAACTGATTATGGTATAATGTGAATTAGTTAAATATTGATTCATATTTCTATACTTCAATGATACGAGCTATGTATCGTTTAATGTGAAAATAACAAAAAAAAGATGTGCTTGATGTATTGAGATGATATTCTACAAGGTAATACTTGTTATATTCTTTTCTTTCTGGTCAATAATACAATGACACAAACACTGTCCTTTCTTTATTTTTCTGTATTATCGGGTACATTTGTTTTTTCTTATTTATCGTTGCCCTTTTGTTCGTGTAGTTTATCCTTTGAATATAATTGCAAAGATATAATGTATATGAAAAGATAAAATAATGTTCGATGAACGATATTCTTTCGTTTGTATCTTGCTTTCATTATTCACCTATCCTATTGGATTTTATTTCTTTTTTTTCTTTTATACGATTGCTCCTTCACCTCTTTAATTCATATTCATTGTCAATGAACAATAATGAAACCAAATATTTTTCAATGCGTAGTAAAGAGTTATATTGACTTAAACGATACTTAAAAATATATTTATATATGAAAAAGTTCAAATTGACTTTTATACATTTGAAAATAAAACGTCGATTCTTACGATTATATAGTAATTCAAACATTTTTTTTTTGTTATATTACATATGAGACTGGTAGAATAGATACGTTTGTTACTGTATACTGATGATAAATCGTTTGAATATCGAAATTTATAATGATCTTGTATATAAAATCGATTTTAATAGGATTATAAAAACAATTGATTCTATGTTCACCATATAATATAATCGAAACAAATTTTAACTCGAAAAATTTATAAGATCTAGCCAAAAAAATCATAACTTAAGTATCTTAATTGAAAAACTATATTATATACTTTTTAATCAAATTAAGTATTGCTTTTACACTAATTGTTTTCATGTTAACTCATGCTATCAATTAATTTTTAATGAAATAGCATAAACGTTTCATACCCATACGAAACATTTTTTTTCTTCAATAAAACTACACATTTTTAAATAAATAATATATTTTATAGTCAAAAAAACCATAGTATAAACTGAACAATATTATCAGTTAATACCGAAATGATATAGTTATTTAAATTAATATAAATAACACAATTGAATTTATTTTAAATACTTTTCTATCGATATTCTTAATTCATATTTATCCTATGCTGTTTTTTTCAAATACACAGTTAAATCATGTGAATATATGAAGTGGAAGATTTGAAGAAAATCGGTGATTTTACTCAAAAAAAATACGAGTATATATAACTGGAATGGATAAAGAGAAGAATTTGTCGAGAACTTTCTTCTTTTTATTAAGTTCATGAAGGAAGATTGACAATAAATCAAGGTACAGAAAGGTCACACAGAAACATAAGTACCTAATGTACGAGAGAGAAAGATATAACTATATAACATATACTTTTTTGTATGTCTACATGTGTTTTTCTTTTCACATGATCAAGCACAGGTATGTTGTTCTCATACTGTTCAATCGTATGTTAATATCACTCATACAAGTTGTCGTTAACTTAAGTAGGTCGTATATAACAAAAAAATATTTATTCTTCGCATTACCTTATACACTCTTTCATTCATTCATCCAAATAATACAGTAAGATATTATCTGTTTCAGACACCAATTATTTAATCATTTATATTAGTTTGCTAAAGTATCACAAGCAGATACTCATCTTAACAAAACCTTATGCAATAAATTATCTACCAAATCTTTAACGTGAGTAAAATGTCGACTTCATCTATTTTCTCCTACTGGTAAAACAAACATATTGTTACATCAAACAAATATTCATCAATATTTTGGTTCTCTATGCTCCACATTGCTAAATGTAAGCAATATAACAACAACTCAAGATACTCTTTTACTTATTATTCATGTAATTGCCTCGGTCACCTTTAGTTTATTCAAATTTATCTCACTGTGAACAGTTTAGTGTCCGTTGTTACAACTCAAAAACAAGATGCTATACAATGGATCAAGGTAATGTTTTATTTCTGCTTATCTAAAATAAAAAATAGTCTAAAAACTGCAGCAATGGTATATACAGTGCAAACGATGAATGTTGTGTAACATATCGTTCTATTCTTTATTATTTATCGCTTTTACGTATTTAGTATTTACTTCTTCATACAAAATCACAATATTCTAAAATCTAAAGTCATGGTAATTATAATGAAAATGAACAGTATTATTTTGATTGATATATATTATACGTATTTAGTATATTTTTTTTGTTGATTCAGGATCATTATCTTCTAAATGATACAGCAATATTTATTATGGCGAAGATCAATTCTTTTATGAATAAATACGCATATTCTTTCAATTGCGTATACTGAATGTATTTGATGCGTACTTCTTGATTCATGATCAGTATATTATAAAGCATATGGTAATGTTATTTAATCTTCTCTCTACTATTCTTATTGAGTGTATTACTATTTGTTCAAGAAGCAGTTAATAAAAAGAATTCAACAATAAATATTATGGAAAAAAGACATTGTATAATGAACTATTCTTGATTTTATTAATTCAATATATTATTATTCATAAAAGGTCATCTCAATCCAACGAAATCCAGTAATGGGTATTATGATAAAAATGGACGTTATTGTAAACTGAATCTATGTATTTCTCTTAATTTTTTTATCTAATATATTTATTACGTATTAAAGGTTAGGTTGATCTGAAGAATCCGACAATGGCTATTATGGTGAAAAGAAATGGTATTATAAATAAAATTTGCATATTTTTTGATTTTCCTGACTTTAATTATTGAGAGTATCAGAAATCATTAAGGATCAAGTAACCTGAAAGAATTCAATAATGACTATAAATTGAATCGGTATCGTTTTGTTTTCAATTTTATTTATTGAATATATACTTATTCTTTTAAGGTCAGATTAATCTGAAGCATTTAGCAACAACAAATATGTCTACCATCTGAAATTAAACTTTGACTTGAAATAACAAACTACACGTAACTATACTCACTATATTTTTTTTGCTTACTATAAACAATATTATTTTATCCTAGTTTATATTAATATCTCATTTTTGTTTATTAGTTCAGAAACAAAAATAGTTTTAGATTCAAAAGTATAGTATTATCAAATTTGAATACAACACGCTTTTTTTTGTTGCATAGAATGAGGTGGTTTTTGTTTAGGTGTATGCTGATATTTAAATATGTGCCTTTAAATACTTGAGTGTGTAGATGTAAATCAAAACCGAATAATCACATCCATTCGTTCGTTTTGTCATTAACACTAACTATTAAATGTTAAATAAAAAACTTAATAATTTAACTTTATTACAGGAAATTAAAGCTAGAAGCTCACCTAACATTTCGATTGATCTGAAAAATTATCATTTTTATTTTAGATACAAAACTCTATTCTTTCAATCCAGAAAATTAATATTTAATCAAGAATACTAATGGCAACTATAAATAATAATAGTACATCATTAGAACCAATAGCTTTAACAGATATGTCACGTGAATTTACTGGTGATATTCATTCTCCAAATGATGTATGGCATATATTAAAAGAAAATCGTGATGTTGATCTTGAATAATTTACTGCTTATATGATTAATATGGATAATAATGGACAACTTCGTCAAAAACTTCTTCGTGCTGCTTATTTTTATGTCAAATCAACAATGGGATATGTTTGAACCAAGTGTTTTTGGTTTATCAGATGCTGAAGCAGGCAGCGTTGATCCATGTCATCGATTACTTATGTTAAAATTTGTTTATTTACTTGATGATGCTGAATATAGTGTTGACAAAATCAATGGCACAAAAACATCAGTACATATTGGACAATTTCCAACAGATCATGTAATTGTAACAACTCGTATGAAACCTGAACATCGATCAAGATTTTACGGACCTAATAGTTTATTATATCATTTTAATTTACATGATCCAAATGTATCATTAGATGTTACTTGTTCGTTATCTTTAGAAGCTTCACATATGGCTGTACAATATCTTCGTAGAAATGAAGTTGATATGGCTGTATGTGGTGTCGATCATTTAGAGCCGATGCTAATCGTTATGATGAAGGTAAAGAATTCAATTGGTTAGTTTTCTATTTAGAAATAAATTTAAATTTGAATTCTCTAAGTGATGGTCTTGGTCTTTTATTATTAAAACGATTACGTGATGCTGAACGTGATAGAGATCGTATATATTGCATTATTCGTGATGTACTTAGTAGTCATGATGGAAATGAAGATAAAACAATTTTTTTATACCACCAGCTGCTGGACAAGAACGTTTATTAGCAAATATTTATTCAGGAAATAATTTTGATACTCGAAAAATCTTATTTGTTGAAGCACATGGTACAGGTACACCAGTTGGTGATCCAACTGAAGCAAATTGTTTAGTTTGATTTTTTAATCGATCAAATCTTGATCCACCATTATTATTAGGTTCAATTAAAAGTAATTTAGGGCATACTGAAGGTGCAGCCGATGTTATATCACTTATTAAAGTTGCTATGTGTATGTATCATCGTGGTATTACAGCAAATATGCAATTTACTTCACTTAATCCAAAAATAGATGCATAAAAATATAATCTACATATTCTTCAAAATTTTCTACCATTTCCATCTCTTCCAAATAATGAAAAAATAGCTATAGGTGTTAATTCATTTGGAATGGATGGTACAACGACACATGCTATTATTGAAGAATATCAATCAAATAAAAACACATCAATTGTAAATGGTTATATCAATGGATATCACATTAAAAGTAAACAATATTTCACTTTTATTTTTTCAAGTAAGTTCTTAATTTCTTTTCATTCATTAAATAATTTATTTCTCTTATTCAGTAAAAAGTCGTCAATATCTTAATGATCAATTAATGATATAGATGATGATGATGATCAAGCTTTTCTTCAACGTATATCTCAATAACTTCTTCTTAAAAGAACTATTAGTTATACACATTCAGCAATCTTGATTTTTCTCAATCATCAACAATCACAAGAACAAATTAATGCTTTTCTTACTGAACAAGCATCACCAGGCCTTTCAATCATATCACGTCCAACAAGACCATTAGAACAGAAAATATGTTTTGTTTTTACTGGACAAGGTCCACAATGGTGGGCTATGGGTACACAATTATATGAAAGTGAACCTTTATTTAATAAATGGATTAATTTAATTGATACAGAAATGACAAAAATTAATAATGGTGAATGGAGATTATAAGAATTAATTGAAAGGAAAAATGAACAAGACTCTCGTATTAATGATACAAATATTGCTCAACCAACATTATTTGCTATACAAGTTGCATTAGCAGTTTTACTTGTTTCATAGAATATTTATCCATCATCTATTATATCACATAGTGCTGGCGATCAAGCAGCTGCTTTTGTTGCTGACTGTTTAAGTTTAGAAGAAACTGTTCGTATGTTAGCTGTTTCAATGAGTGAAGAAGAAGTAGAAAATAAACTCCTTAACGGTATTGAACATTTGGCTTGTATTGCTGTTGTTAATAGTCCTCGTCTAGTAACAATAAGTGGTGATGAAAAAACTATTGATGAAATACAACAAATTCTTTCAATCTCATATCCAAATATACTTAAAGCATGTGTTCGTATTGAAAATGCATTTCATTTTTCATCATTGAAAGATATTCGAGAATTTCCAATACAAGATCAAAAACAAATATTTAATCCAATATGTGCACAAGCAAAATGTTATTCAAGTGTTATTGGTGAACAAATGAATGATAATATACCAGCTGATGGTCAATATTGGTGGTCAAATGTAAGACAAGCTGTAAGATTTTATAATGCTATAACAGCAATTTTGAAAGATGAAGCAGCAAATGTTTTTCTTGAAATTTCACCACATCCAGTTTTAGCTATATCTATCCGTGAATGTTATGAATTAACAAATCAACAATAATCATCACCACTTATTCTTCCAACATTAAAAAGAAAAGAAAATGAGCAAATAACATTACTTCCTAGTTTAACACAACTTTCAATATCATCTCATGTATGGCAACAATATTTTCATACTCGTCAAATTTTATCAGTTAAAAATTGCGAAGAATATTTTGATAATTTTCCATTATATAAATTTCATTTGAGTCCATGTTGGTATGAATCAAAAGATTCACCTATACAACGTTTAGCTAATCGTATTCAGACTCATCCATTACTTGGTATTCGTCAATTAAATGAAAAAACAAGTGCAACATGGAAAAGTCTTATTAATATTAATTTACCACAACATGCTTTTTCAAAAGATCATAAAATTCAAGATGCAATTCTTTTCCCGGCTGTTGCTTATCTTGAACTTGCAACAGCTGCTTGTCAACAATTACTTTCATCAAAAGAAGATGATCAACAACAACAACCAACAATTATTTTTGAAGATATTAATTTTACTAAAGCACTTATTCTTAATGAACATGAATTAACAGAAGTATTTACACAAGTAATTATGCCAATGCGTAAATGGTATATTATATTTTGTAATTAAGATAATCTTAATAAATATTCATTAAATCAATTTGCTTTACATGTCCAAGGTAAAATTGAAATAGATTTTAAAGAACAAAACTCAATAACAATACCTAATACATGAACAACACAACATATACCAAGTGCTTATGAACATCTTTCTACACGTGTTTATCAATATGGATCTAGTTTCGCAAAACTAAAAACATAACGTGGTACTTCAACTACAATTATATCTCAATTATCAAATGATAATAATATCTTATTATTTACTTCATCCATATCTAGTTATAGTACCAGGCATTGAAACAACATTTCTTCCAGTACGGATTCAAAAAATTTATTTATTCAAGTAAAACAAAAGCAAAGATGAATCAATCAACAAATGTCGAAGTACGTGGAATCTATCATGATAATATATGTGGTATAGGTCAAGAAGAAATATATAATCTTGATTTATGGATGTTTCTAATGAATAATAAAATAGAAGAACCAGTATTTACATTTGAAAGTATTGTTATTCAACAAGTTCAAGGTGTACAGTCTGGTCGATGGTCAATGGAAAAAACAATTTATGACAAATTAAATCTAACAACTGATTTACCTAATACTGATCATAAAACATATTTAAATACAATTGTAAAAGATTATTGTATGAAAAGAGTATGAACTGATTCACCAATAATAAAAGATATATCACATTTATTTCCATCATCAACAAATTATTCTTAATAATCAACTTAATTCTATTAGTAATCAAGATTTAATTGAATCAATAGAACCATTTAATGAATTAGCTGCTTATTATGCTCAAATAGCAATTAAAGATCTTGATTTAAATCAACAACATCATCCATTATTAAATGCATGTCGTTCTCTTGCTTCAACTTTACATGAATAAGTAACATGGCATTCAACACATCTTCGTCTTATTCAATTAATTGAACGTTTTCCTCGTTTAAAACCATTTTTAATAATATTAAATAAATATGGTTTACATTTAAAAGATATTCTTAGTGGAGAAAAAAAATGGTTTAGATATATTTCTTGGTGATGATGAAATTGAACAAATTTTTCATTCTATTTGTCAATATTTACAATTACAATATGAACAACAACAAACTAAAGATAATTCATTTCAGAATTATCGATTACGTATATTTTGGTTAACTGATAGTGATTGTTCAGATGTTTTATCTATTCTTGATCTTCCTCTTAATTTATCACAACAAACAGGTTTATTAATTGATTTACATTGTGCAGATTCTGATCCAATACAACTTGCAAATGCTCAACAAACATTTAATACACATATAACTAATCAAACAAAAAATTTCTCTATTATTTACGATGAAACAATTGATTTATATGATAGTAAAACACTGGAAAAAATCCCATTCGAATCATTTGATATTACATTATCTGCAAATCAACTTCTAGGAAATCAAGATTTGACAAAAAAGAATTCTTTAATTTCTCTTCGTCGTTTACTTGTTCCTAATGGTCTTCTTTTATTACTTGAATTAGTTCATATTCCTCTTTATTTTGATCTTATTTTTAGTTGTTCTTATCAATGGTGGTCATCATCTGATGATAATAATCGTGCATTAAATAATATTCAACAATGGACAACATTATTAGAACAAATCGAAGGATTTAATATTATTGAATCAACAATAAATGAAAATGAACGTACAATAATTATTAGTCAAAAAACAATATTAAATGATATATTACAAAGACTTGATGAAAGAAAAAATCAAATATGATTAATATTTACTAAAGATGTTCAAAATAATAAAAATAATTCATATTCATAATTCAACTTTAGATATGATTTGTTCTGGAATATCAGTTCTATTAACTACTTATAAACAAGTATCTATTACTTTTGCATGGTAACTTGATCAAACATTACTTAATGAAAATAATGATGATTTAGCATTTAAACAAAATGAAGAACTTATATATGGAACATTATCACGTATTCTTACAACAATTCAAAAATCATCTCCACATTTTTATCCATTTGTATATGTTCTTACAGATCATGCTCAATTTAATAATGCTTCGAATCTTAATATAATTGCATCACCATTTATTGGTCTTGCACGAAGTTTAATAACTGAATATGAACGAATCGATTAAAACTTATTAATATTCAAACATCATTATATAATAATAATCAATCAACATTTATTCATACTTTAGTAGAATATATGATTAATTCAAGATATTCAACTGATACTTGTCAAGTAGTTCTTCGTCTTAATCATACAGATCAAAATCAAATTCAACATTTAACATGGCATTATGAAATGTTACAAAAATATGTTGATGATTAATGATGAACAAGAGAAATCTAAATTAGAATTATATATATAAAAAATATTTTTCTTTTAATTTAAAAAAAACAGATGTTCAATGGTTGGATAAAAATACAAGTGAAAGTACAGCTCGTCTTCTTGCAGCAATGCCTCTTTCAATTCGATGAACAAATCAAAATCATACACAGAAACTATCACATATTAATAGTCATACATTTACGAAATTTGTTGAACAGTAATTGAAAATGAAGCACATTTATTCGAATTCGAAAAAAAGAAAGTTTTTTTCATTTAGATTTGTAAAACTAATCAATGAAAAATCATCAAATGTTCATGAAAATCATTGTGATGTTCAACATCTTCTTGAACAAATTCAATATCAACATAAAATATCAATTAAATTAGAAAAATGAATTATAACAAGAAAAAACTGTACTTGAAGAAAGACTTAGAGTATAAAATTCTCGTATTAAAATTTTGATATAAAATCTCAAGTTTGTTTTAGAGTATTGTACGTATGTTAGTTCAAACAGGTCAAGATATGGTTACAACGCAACAACAAATTCGTGCTCATAAATCTCAAACAAGATGAACAGTTTAATTAAAATGATTATTACCTGAATATGAATTAATACAAGAAAAAAATCTTTATAAATGTTTAGCTATTGCAACTGATGCAACAAAATTAATCGAAACACTTGATATGAAATCATTATAAGATTTAAGATTAGTTACTAAAGCAGAAAAACCAGTTGAAGATACATTAGTTGCTATTATTATGATTTGTAAGTTTAGAATATTTTTCATTTTTCTACTTTTTCGGAATTTTATATTAAAATAGTAAAATCTCTAACAGCTGATATAACATGGCAAAAAGGTGTGAAAAGACAATTAGCTAATCTTGATAGATTTATTGAAGAAATTCAATTATTTGATAAAATTAATTTAACAGAAGAAGATATTAATTTAATTACTGCAAATTATTGATAAAGTTCAACTTGAAAATACATCACTTAATCAAACATCTTATGATAATGCTGTTTTAAGTCTTTACAAATGGGTTAAACGAGTTTTATAGTTAGTTATTGGAAAAAAATATTACTATTATTATCTTATACAAATCATCAATCTTTTGATACTTGCAATTCATTCACAGAAATAATTCGTTGCACAATTGTACAATGTTTTTGCATGGCTACTTGAATAAACATTACTTGATGATAACGATGGTTTAGCATTCAAACAACATGAAGAATTTATGTTCACTATACTATCTCTCATTCTTTAAACAATTCATACAAAATCTGCTGATTTTTATCCGTTTGTGTTTGTTATCATGCGCATCTTAATATGGGTCCTGATTACAATATAATCATGTCACCAATTATTAGTCTTGTGCGAAGTATTATGAGTGGGTGTAACCTTTAACTAGAATCCATCTTCACCCACACCCATCTGCGTCGAATGAAGTATTATTTTTAAAGAAATTTTTCTATTTTGAAGCCAAGAAAATAGAGAAAATTCTAACTCTATCAAATGTTTAAGATCCCTTTTATATAATGATACTGCCTGTATAAATCTTTTTGTCGATTAGTTTTAGATTAAGCTTTCAATTTTAATTTTCAACATATTACTTAAAATATGACAACATCATACTATGTGATCCGTAGTTTATTTGATATTGCCCGATTGTATCCTCAAAAGGTAGCAATAGTACTCGACAATCAAGTATGGACTTATAGCGAGTTGATTATGCAAGTGGAACGTGTTGTATATCAATTACATCACTTAGGCGTAGTTCAAGGTCAAATAATCTATCAATTTGTCGAACGAAGTTTTGAGATGATATGTGGCTTTTTGGCCATCCTATATATAGGTGGAGTGTATTGTCCACTAAATCCAATACTGCCGCCTGGTCGTCTCAATATAATTCTCGAACAAATGCAAGGTCGATATGTTTTAATACATGAGAAAGCACTTAAGCAATTTCCAATAGCAACTGTTCAGCATGTTATTATATTGGATAATATTCTTTCTCCATCACTGGATATCGAAGTCATGAGTGATCTTTCAATTTCTAGGGAGTATGGTGCTGCATTTATCATTTTTACTTCAGGCACTACTGGACCACCAAAAGCCGTTGTTCACACACATAGAAGTTTTTCGGCTAGTATTGCTGCTCTGATTGGATGGGACGTCGGTATGTATACTGTTCGAGATCAGGTTCTTCAAATTGCTGCAAGTTCATGGATTACACATATTTGGGAAATCTTATTGACATTAGTCGTTGGTGGTACTCTTGTGCTTCTGCGACAAGGTGGTCTTTTCGATGTGGCCTATTTTTCTCGAACTCTAATGCATCAACAAATAACGACACTACTAATAGGTCCTGCAATAATTCGAGCTCTTACTAATTATATTGAAAATAGCCAACAAACAAAAATATTCGATACTGTACGCCAACTATGTGTGGGAGGTAATGATAAACTTTTGATCTATTTTTGACATCTTAGTTTTCACTTGCGTTGCATAACCTAGGTGAAGGACTGAAGCCACAACAGTGGACTCAATTTGCTAATTTGTTAAGTTCTTACAATGTTCAAATTTGTGTTCTATATGGTACGTCTGAAAGTGGTGTAGTTCTTGGATGTCAGTTGTTGAATATCAAAGATACAGATATTCCTATTGGTTATCCATTACCAACTATTCAATGTTTGCTAATCGATGATAATGGTAAGATTATTAATACTACAGATAATTCACACGAAATTGGTCAAATTCACATAGGAGGTAAGTAGTACCCATTCCGATCATTTTCTTTTAAATTATATATTCTTTACTAGGACTAACTTTATTTAACTGCTTTTTAAATAATCCAGAACTTAGCGGAAGCAGATTTACAGTCATAAACAATCAAGTTTTTATAAAAACAGGTGATTTAGCTAGATACAATGAACAAGGAAAGCTTTTTTATGTTGAACGTGTTGATTTTCAAATTAAAATACGTGGCCAACGAGTCGAAACAACTGAAATTGAAAATACAATTACGAATTCGTATCCTGGCAAGATTTCCGACTGTGTTGTTACTAAACTGGCACGAAATGATGATCTACTTGTTGCTTATGTGGTCTCAAAAGAATCCGATCTCGATACTGAACAAATACAAAATTATTGCAATAAACATCTACAGCAATACATGGTACCATCGATCTTTGTCTTCTTGAAACAGTTGCCTTTGAATGCGAATGGAAAAGTCGATCGACAGCGTCTTCCAGTACCTGATATCTCGGTTTTATCGACTAATGCTATAGATCGTCAATATTTAGAACCGAAAAATGAAATGGAAACGTTCGTTCATTCGGTATGGTGTAAGATCCTTGGCTGTAATCGAATCTCGACGCGAACAAACTTTTTTAGTATTGGTGGTCATTCTCTTCTGTTTATTCAAATTTATCAATATTATCAAACGTTATTTAATTTGGATGATGAAGCAATAAATATTCGATCATTCTTTGAACATAATACCATAGCCGAACATGCTCAACTGCTAGAAAATATTAAGATGAATAATATACAAACAAAAAAATGGCAGACATTACATATTAATCAATGTAAGGCATATAGAAGCACTTCTGCATCATGATACCATATTTTTCTCCTAATTTATAGGTATTGCATCGTACGCTCAACAGCGCATATATCTTGATGAGAAAATGCGTTTTTCTGGAAAAGTTGCTATTTACAATGAATTAACTGCTCTACAAATTACGAAAGGTTCAATATCAATGACTCGCTTATTGCAAGCTCTTCGTTGTGTTCTAAGCATACATAAGATATTAAGAACTTCTCTAGTTTTCAATGATGACGATAATACTTTAAAACAATCTATCACTGATAAACATCTGACATTTGCATTGGCTGCCGATCAAACATTCAAAAGTGAAACTGAACTTCACAACATTATTTCACAAATAAATACTAATCCTAATCTGTTCGATTTATCCAGTGGTCGTGTTTTTTATTGCCAAATACTCAGGCAACAGATGATACTTGATGAAAATCATGATAAAGAAACGCTTACAAGTTCTGATATTCTCGTTATCGGCTTTCATCATGCTGCAATTGATCAATCAAGTGCTTCAATTTTTTTAAATGATCTGTGTCATAGTTATAATAACAACATGATGTGGTTAGATGATGAAGAATCATTACAATATATAGATTATAGTGTTCATGAGCGTCTAATCGACATGACACTATCACGCGAATTTTGGCGTTCTCAATTAAATGGATACGATCAAGAATGTCGATTGTCACTACCAGTTGATCGACATTGTTTATATAGTGATCAAAGATCTGGACATGCTTCCATTGCTCATATCTCATTTGATAAAGAGATTTCGACATCATTTCTCGATTATGCATCTTCACATCAAGTCACACCATTTCAGCTAGGTCTGGCTATATTCTATGCATTTCTTTTTAAGCTAACATATAGACAAAATGATTTATGCATTTCTTGTCTGAATGCAAATCGATACAGGACTGAATTACAGAATATGATTGGAATGTTTGTTTCAACATTACCATATCGTATTCGAATTGATTCTGACTGGTCATTTGATGAACTTGTTGAACATGTGCGAGAAAAATGTTTATCAATTCTTGAACATTCTCATTATCCACTACAGTATGTTCTTACTGACTCTCAATTTAAACAGTCAAACGTTCCATTTCTTGAAACATTGTTCAATTTTACCACTGTCTCTGAAAATAGTCAATGGTCTATTGACACAGCGACGTTGCAACAATTACCAATGCAGCAATCTTATGGTGCTGCAAAATTTGATTTTGACTTGACTTGTCTTTACAATCCAGCATCCGATGGAAGTAAACTATCATTCTGTCTAACATGCTCGCGTGATCTATTTGATGAGACAACAGCTATAATCATAGTTCAAAGATTAAAACATCTTGTCGATCAACTTTTTTCATCAAAATCAATTTCTGATGAAATTAATCCAAACTTTGTATCTATATCGAAACTTAGCTTGATTTTACCGACAGAAGCTAAAGAAATTGAAGATACTGTCTTCTGTCGACAACAGAATATTGTCAATGAAGGTAAGTTTGTTTAATTCTTTTCTCATTCATTTTTGTTTATAAACAAACAGATAATCCGTGATGAATAATTTGAAAAAATGATAAGAAAATCTTATTTTATGAGCATGAATAATGTCATCACATCTGATATAATTAAGGTTGGTGTTAGTTGTAAAGTTCTTGAGTATGATACTGAACCTTTGATTAGCCCACACAATTAACATAACGTCTTATCTTATGATATATATATAACCTAGCGTCATGGATTATTGTGTGTTACTTGTTTATCATGTTTCTCGTCTTCTTCCTTTTCTATAAACCACGAACTAGAAGCGATTCTAAAATAAGAGCAAAAACTTGAACCGATCCTTCCTTCGTCTACAAATATGATCGATATTATAAGGAGCGTAGTTTAAAATATGAAATTTAGTGAATATATCTGGAAATCGATTAAGAAAAATCATTAGTTTATGAGCGAATTGAAAAGACCCAAGACATTGATAGTTCTAATCAAGATAGATTTCAACTTATTTATGAAGAATGTTTTGCTATTAGCAACCACAATGATTTGTGTAGGTTCAGTGAAGTGAGCTCCACACGACGTAAACTCCAAATCCATGTATAAGACCATCCAAACTTTCTGCAGTCCATATTTTACCCAAAAGTCGAAAAAATTCAAAAAAGTTCAAAAAACCTAAAAACCCGAAAAAGTTTAAAAAACCCAAAAAACTTAAAAAAGTTTAAGAAACTCAAAAAAACTTAAAAAACTCAAAAAAGTTTAAAAAACCCAAAAAAGTTTAAAAAACTTAAAAAAACCCAAGTAACTAGAAAAAATTTAAAAACTCAAAAAATTTAATATGTCAAAGAGCTTTCTCGAAAAACTCAAAAAAGTTGTAACTCTCTGAAAAGGTTAAAAATTTTAAAAATTTTTTTATGGTACTGGATATTCATCTAATATAATAGAGAAATTTATTCTGATTTAAATTAACCTGACAATAAATATTGAAAAAAATTTTTTTATCGTACTGGATATTCTTGTAATTGAATTTGGAAATGTATTTTAATTGAAATCAACTGGATAAAAAATTATTGAAAAAAGTTCATTCTTGTGGTGAATATAGGTCTAATTCGATCTAGAAATATGTATTTTAAATAAAAGAAACTGAGTGTGAAATATTCAAAAATGTTTTTTTCGGTTATTAAAACTGATTCAACTCGATATGGATATTGGTTTCGAATAAAACTAACTTAATCCAAAATGCTGAGAAAGCTTTTTTGTATTATAATTAGAGTTCATTCGTTTACAGTGTGAGATGAGGTTTCAATACAATTAACTGAATATGAAATAATGTAGTAAAAATTTGTAATGACGAGTATCGTTTGAATTTCAATCAGATATGGATTCTAAATAGAAGTAATTTGATTGAGAATGTTGAAAAGATATGTTTCTTTTTCGTAATTAAGATTTGTTGAATTCTATTTGTATATGGGTTTTAAATAAAAGCGAGTTGATTCAGAGTATCGGAAAAAGTTTTTATCACGATTGAAAATCATTCAATTTGATTGTGGTATGAATCTCGATGTGAGATAAGTGTGTTCTAAAGATTGACATAAGTTATTGTATGGAAATTAAAATCACTCGTAGTCGTTTGGATATGAATGTCGAATTAAATTAAGCGAATTAGCAACATTCAAAAGAATTTTCTGATAATGGAATTCGTTGAATCTCATTTGTATGTTGATTTTAAATACAATTTGCTGCATTCGAAATATTGAATCAGCGTCTTTTTTCTTTGTAGAAAATTTATGCTGTTTAACTTATAAATGGGTGTGCTAAAAATTGGGGATACTTATCGGAACGAGAGCTCAATTTAGTTTAGGTTTTAGTAAACTTATTCTGCATTTCCATTTTTTACTTATGCTTGACGTTTAGCTTACTGTATTATGGCGACATTGTGCAGTGGGTTTTCTTCAGCTGTGAAGGGACCGGTATTTTTCTGTTTCATACTGAGTGAAAAATATCAGATGTGTGCGTTGGTTATGCGTAGGCTACTATCTCCCTCCACCGGACGTTTGATATGTGTAAGAAAGTTGTTTTCTGTGCAGTTTCCGACGATTCCGTTAGGTCGGGATAACATAGATCACTGGGACGAGTTTTGGCCACTTGTTTTCGACGTTTCGAGATGTTTGCGGCTTTTCTGAAAACCTGCTTTAACTGTCGAACAACGGATGTATTGTCGTGAAGTTTTCTTTAGACACTTGGAACATTTTACTATTTATACTTTCTTCTCTATTTGAAAGGCTTTATTTATATTCCTCCTATGCGCATGACATGACAATTTTTAAGAAGATTTTGACTTTTGATAGTTCCATATTTGCGCAATTCTAAGACCCAATAACTATTCTCGACCCCCGTTCAAACTTTTGCATTTCATTCTTTCATTTTGAACTTTTTTTTATTTCTTTTCTGAACGCTTTTGCGGTTTTATGAAGCCTTTAGGTTTTTTGAGTTTTTTAGAATTTTTTGAACTTTTTTGAGTTTTTGGGTTTTTTAGAATTTTTTGAACTTTTTTCGAGTTTTTGCACTTTTTTAGGTTTTTGAAACTTTTTTGAGTTTTTTAGAAGTTTTTGGGTTTTTTAGAATTTTTTGAACTTTTTTAGGTTTTTGAACTATTTTAGATTTTTGAACTTTTTTGAGTTTTTAGAGTTTTTTGGGTTTTGGGTAAAACATGGACTATGATTTAATGAGGAAAATATGGATAGCTAAGTAAGCTCCAAACGTGGAGTTTAAATGTGGCGCTTACTTCACTGAACCTTTGTGTATTACATTTGAGATTCAGAGACTGTGTCGATAGCTTTCTTCTTTACCTTCCATAAATTCTCATAAAAATTAATATGCTAAATATTAATACTTTTAAGGCAATTTATATTCTAAAACGATGTAAAATTTTAATGATATTGTTAATATAAATAATTTCCTATAGTCCGACCTGACTGTGTTTGTGTTCTTTCAAGTTTAGCTGATCTTCGATGTTTTTCTGCAAATTTCTATACATTTTATGCATCATTTCAGTTGACTCAGCAAAATTCTTTCATCATCAGTCATCGGGATCACCGAAAGATGTAGTCATAACTTCAGTTAAGTCTGAATAATATATCATTATTAATTGCAGCACCAGCATCATATGCACAAGCTCGCATTTTGTCTGATGAACGAGTTCGATTTGATCCAGACAATCCACAACTCCCAATCTACAATATGCCTTTTCTCTACCATCTTAATAAAGGCCATACTTTATCAATACAACAACTTCGACAGGCTCTTCAGCTAATTGTTAAAAAACATCAATCATTTCGTACATTACTTAACTTTGATACCGAAAAGAATTTATTCATGCAAAGAATTGTTGACATCTATGAAGATAATAATAGATTGTATGCATTTACTGAAAACACTTACGAAACACAAGAACAACTCAATCATATCCTACATGAAGAAAGATATAATCCTGAACTTCTTGATATTTCCCAAGGTCTTGTCTTCCGTTGTCATCTTGCCTACTACAAACAAATCTCTTCAAATCATCTACTTTCTGACCGAGATGTAGTCATTTTCAATTTCCACCATGTTCTATTTGATTCTCCATCAATGAATATTTTCCTTCATGATCTCAATCAAGCATATTCAACTAGTCAATTATTATATGATGATATCACTACTCTACGTTATCTCGATTGTAAATATAAATACTACTTCTACTTTTCTCTTCTCTAATACATTCTTTTCTTTGATTATATAGATGCTGTTATTGAACAACAAATGTCAATGAGTGGTGCAAGTATGTTTTGGCTTGATGCTCTTCATGATTGTAAACTTGATCAACCTTTGTCATTACCATTTGATCGATATCGTCTCTCAAATGAACATCGAACTTGTCATACAACATCTATTTCTTTTGATTTTGGTCAAGATCTTTCACATCACTTTATTACTCATACATCCTTAAACAACATATCACTTGAACATCTTACATTTGCTATTTATTTCATCTTCCTATTTCAATTAACTAATGGACAAACAGATCTATGTCTAGCTATAAACATCAATAATAATCGATATACAGATGAACTCAAATCAATCATTGGATTGTTTGAGAATGTTATTCCGTTACGGTGTCAATTAGATCCTCATTGGTCTTTTCATCAAGTACTCGAACATGTTCAAGAGATAACAACAAATAGTATGAAATATTCATATTTTCCACTTCAACGTATTCTCGATCAACATTCCCATGTTTCGAAACATGCGTTTTTGGATACATCTCTAGAATTTATATCATTTATCAACAATAATGACAACAATGCAACGATGATTGGTGATTCTCAACTTGTTCCGGCATCTTTCTCATTCAGTATTAATGAAGATGAGATATTAAGTATATCCGACTTCTCTCTTTCAATTCATCAGGATTTGAGCGTGAATCAACTATCATGCACAATCAATGCATCACTTGACTTGTTCAATAGAGAAACAGTAGAGAAGATTTTACAACGATTTCATTTCATCTTACATCAATTATCTGCATCTATGATTGACAATCAAATGAATAAATCAATATATGAAATATCATTAACATTACCAAATGAAAGATTACTCATACAATCAATGAATAATACACAAGTGCCAGTTTGTCCTGACACTTGTATTCATCATGAATTTGTATATCAAGTAATGAAATATTCACAAAAACTAGCTGTTGAACTAGATGAACAATCTCTAACATATGCTGAAGTTTTGCATTATGTCCAAATATTATCTCTGCATCTTATAAATAAACATGTTGTTGTTCCAGGTGAAGTCATTTGTCAATGTGCCGAAAGAAGTTTGTCAATGGTGAGTTAATCTTTCAGATTGATGTTTAGTGTGATTGAAGTTTTCATATTGTATAGGTGATTGGTATAATGGCAATTGAAATGAGTGGTGGTGTCTATTGTCCATTATCATCCCGAGATCCACAACATCGCTTACATGCTCTCATACAACAAACACAAAGTCGTCTCGTTCTTGTTCATTCGTTGACAAAATCAAAATTCAATAGTAAAATTGTTTCGATTGACATTCATTCAACATGGACTAATAATGATCTAATCAGTGATGTTAACGTTGATCGACTATCAACTATTACAGTCACATCAAGTAATATTGCTTATATCATTTTCACTAGTGGTTCAACGGGAATACCAAAAGCGGTATGTTGACATTTGCGTTCTTATCTGTGTGTTCATTCTTACATATTCGAATAGATAAAAGTACGACATATAAATTTTGCTGGATGTATAAACTCTTTGGTTGGCAGCAATACACTCAATAAACATGATACTGTTGTTCAAATGGCTCGATGCTCATTTGACCTTCAGCTTCAAGAAATACTTGGTAGTTTGATGATTGGAGTTACAGTGGTTCTGCTTCATCCAAAAGGAACAGTTGATTTTGATTATCTCTCTCACATCTTACACACTAAAGAAGTTACATACTTGCAAAGTGTTCCAAGTTTGCTTCAGAGCTTTTTTATTTTTCTCGAACAGTGCGATAAGGTAAACACTATTAAACGCCTCCGATCAATTTGCTGTGCCGGTATGTACTCAAATGATAAACTTCACCATGTTCTACGGTTTTTTAATTTTTTTTGTAGGTGAACCATTTTCTGTTAAACTTAGGACTTTAATCGCAAACATTGGTATACCAGACTGTATTGTATGGAATCTTTACGGTTCCACTGAAATAACACTCGTCTCTACATATCATCTGGTTGATATTCAGTCCAACGGTGCAAGCATTTCAGTCGGTACATCACTACCGAACTATCAATCGTTGCTCTTAAATAAATTCTTGCAAAGCACATCTATTAGTCAAAAAGGAGAATTATTCACTGGAGGTGTTGGTGTCTTTGCTGGTTATCTTGGACGTGATGATTTAACTGCCAAAGCACTCATTGAAGTCGATGGCGAATTATACTATCGAGTAGGTGATCTTCTTCATATGGATGAAAACGGTCTTCTTCATTATCAAGGAAGAAAAGATCATCAAATCAAACTGCATGGACAACGAATTGAAGTTGGTGAGATCGAACGATGTCTACTTAACATTATATCCATCTCTGCTTGTGTTGTCATGAAGTGGAATGATGATTATTTAGTTGCATATGTTCAAAGTTCTGATATTACTGAACAGGAACTGCGTGAACACTGTCAATCTCATCTTCCACCACATATGATACCATCTATATTCATGATACTTGATAAATTACCTTTGAATCCAAATGGAAAAATAGACAGAAAACAACTTCCTTCACCGGAATTTGCATTATTACCTTTCTCCTCGTCCGATAAATCTGATACTCCTCTTAATCAGTTCGAAGAACGTATACACACTATTTGGTCTCAAGTTCTTCATTGTAATGAAAATTACATTTCTAGAACTACCAGCTTTTTTAGCATTGGTGGCCATTCACTTTTATTGATTCAACTTTATCATCACTATCAATCAGTATTTACCTTTGATGCTCATACACTTTCAATTGCTCTATTTCTTCAACAACCAACTATATTTCAACATTCACAATTACTTCAAACAGTTATAATGAATAATATCAAGATAGCACAGTGGCACACCTTGCATATAAATGAAGGTAAAAATATTTACTAGGAAATTATTAAAATAATTTCTATCATTTAATTGACAGGTATTGCCTCTTTTGCTCAAGAACGTATCTTTCTTGACGAACAAGTTCGTTTTTCGAGTGATATTGCTATCTATAATGAACTGATTACATTACAAGTTGTTCAAGGATCATTATCATTAAATCGTTTATTACAAGCATTTCGATTTGTTTTGAACACACATAAAATATTACGTACATCTCTTATGTTTAACAATGATGATGGTATTTTGAAACAATGCATTACAAATCTACATAAAACATTCACAATAACTATGAATCAAACCTTTCAAAATGAAAATGAACTTCGAGATATTATTTATAAAACAACTACCAATCCTCATCTCTTCGATTTATCAATTGGTCGTGTTTTTCATGCTGAAATACTAAGATATCAAGTGTTATTAAATGAAAATGATAACAATGAATTCATAACTGATTCTGATGTTCTTCTCATTGCTTTTCATCATGCAGCATTTGATCGAGCAAGTTCTTCGATCTTTTTCAATGATCTATGCTTAGCTTATAATACTAATGCAATATCAGAAGGAGGAGAAGATGATGATGAATCATTGCAGTATATTGATTATAGTATACATGAACGTCTAATTGATATGACAACATCTGGTGAATTTTGGTATTTACAATTAGAAGAATACAATTTCGACTCTCCATTGTTATTACCAGTTGATCGACATCGTTCATCCAATGATCATCGATCCAATTCTGCTTTTACTACTCAAATCTCTTTTGACAATGAAATTTCACAATCATTTCTTGATTATGCTTCCACACATCATGTGACACCATTTCAGTTAGGTCTGAGTATATTATATGCCTTTCTTTTCAAGTTAACGCATGGTGAATATAATCTATGTATTTCTTGTTTGAATACTAATCGATACAGAACTGAACTGCAAAATCTAATTGGAATGTTTGTTTCAACATTGCCATATTGTATTCAACTTGATCCTCATTTGTCATTTGATGATCTTGTTAAATATGTACGAGAGAAATGTTTATCAATTCTTGAACATTCTCATTATCCACTTCAACATATTCTTGCTAATTTACATATTAATCAATCAAATATTTCATTTCTTGAAACAATGTATGACTTTATTAATATATCCTCACACAGTGACGAATTATCTTTGGATGGAGCAAGTTTCAGACATGTGTTATTTGAACAATCGTTTGAAGCGGCTAAGTTCGATTTTATGTTAACATTTGTCTATAATCCAATGCTGGAAAATAGTAGATTATCATTTCGTTTAACTTGTTCACGTGATTTATTTGATGAGATTACAGTTACAAATATTGGTCGAAGATTCGAATACTATTTTCAACAACTGTTTTCATCGAATGAAACTATCAATCGAACTGATACATGTTTTACATCTGTATCGAAAATTAATCTTATTCTACCAGAAGAAACTCAAGAACTGGACGATATTATATTTTGTCGACAACCACATATTATAAACGAAGGTATGTTTATCTTGGCGTAAAGTTTTTCCTAATGAACATTTATATTGACAATCAATATATTATAAAGAAATATCACTGAAGATATGTTCCGATACGGTCTGTGTAAGGGTGACAGAATCAGGTTTTCTTTCTTTCTCTCTTCAATATCGCAGCATATTCCGGTCGGTTAGAGCTGATTACTTTGATAAGATATACAAGCTAACCTGCCCTATGTATTAAAAAAGTTTCACATGATTTCGTTCTTGTTTTATAAGTTTAAATTTGAAAACTATGCCCATGATGGATTCAATGAAAATGGTAATGCGTTTTCAGTACCATATCAAGAGCCGAAAAATTTAGCGAAACTGTAAGTGTAATAGAAAACTTTCGTATACAAAAGGTATAGTACCTATGACTGGTTACACACGGAAGTAAAAATAATTGAAGTGTATAACAACATGGTCCTACAATCAGAAAAAGGTTTCGTGACGAAATCAGAGTTTCGAAATGTTGGAATTTAATGAGTTTTTTTTATTGAAAGCATAAAGAAAAGTTCATCGAAGTCGAAATAGAAACATCATGGAAGATAAAATAATCAATGAAACTATTTTCTAACAGCGATAAGAACACAAAAATATCACGTTTGTGAGAACCAAAAAAATACAAATAAAAGAAGTATATACATAGACTTATTCTTTAATCCAGTATGAAATCTATTAAATAATATTTTCATATTCGAATAAGATAAAAGTACTATTATTAGGAGAAAGAAAATTACAGAAAAATATTAAAACCGAAATACATATTCTTCTTCTCTTGTCGAATATTTGCAAGGGGGAAAAAGCGAGACTTCATCTACTTCAAAATGTTTTTGAAGTACAGTGAAGTACTGGTGAAGTACTAGTGAAGTACGAGCGAAGTAGAATGAAGTAGATTGAAGTAGAAGTGAAGTAGAAGTGAAGTACGACTGAAGTACCGTGAAGTATCGTACTTCACTGTACTTCAATTTACTTCACTGATATTTCATGTTACTTCACTGGTACTTCATTGTACTTCACTTCTACTTCAGTAGGGATTTCATTTGTAATTCAAGCATTAGTGAAGTACTTGTGAAGTACTTGTGAAGTAATGTGAAGTACAAATGAAGTAGAATGAAGTACGAGTGAAGTAACATGAAGTACATGTGAAGTATAAATGAAGTACTAGTGAAGTACCGCTGAAGTACCAATGAAGTACACACTACTGAAGTCTCGCTTTTCCCCCCTTGAATATTTGGCACGCTGACATTTTTTTAAAAGATTTTTCGAGTGTTAGACGAGTTATATCGAATTGAGCTTGTTGTTCAAGACCAACAATAATTGTTTTTGTCTTTTGATGACAAACGTCAACAAAATCTTTTGCAGATGTAACGAGAGCACCAGCCAAAATTTTGGACCAAACGAGTCTCTTAACAATACTACCAGTTGAATCAACTACAGCTTTTCCATAGGATGAACTAAAATAATTCCAGCTGATGTTGATGTCCGTTTTGTCCATCATACTTGATAGGTGTTGCAGAATAAAACTGTTTTTAAATTGAGAGGTAGTAGCATCTGAAAAGAAAAATAATTACTTGAATATCAGGCACAATACTTGTAGTTTCGCCTATCAAAATCTCTAAGCAAATAATGACAGAATATTTGTTGTGGTCTGTTGAGTTTGAGTCAAACTCAAATGAAAAACCTTCACCATCACTATCACCCATCCATATATATGCAGTAAATATGGATACTTGTTTTTTGAAACTCGAACTAAAAGCAGAGTTTAAAGGCAGAAATTTGAACCCACTACCCTCCCCCATAGACGTGGCCGGCAAAAAATCACAGGCGTAACCGACCGAACATCAAAGGCGGCGAACGACATAGCATTGTACGTCGTCACAGACGTGACCGACACAACATTACCGACATGACCGACATATATTCTTTTGACTTCATCACAGACGTAACCGACACACGTTTTTTTAACCCCGTCACAGATATGACCGACGTATGTTCTTTTGACCTCGTTACAGACTAAACCAATAGGGTACCATAGGCCTGTTAGGGCCATATCAGAGCCATAAAAGAGACATCAGCGAAAGAACACAATAGAAAGACAAAATGGGGGAAAAGATGACCTTTGCGAGACTCGAATCCACACCTTCTGCTATCCGCGCAGATGTCCTGAGACAATTAGACTAGAAGAATGAACTTAACCTCTAGTTTAGGGTTTAGTGATTCATCACAGGCCCTAACAAGGCCTTCATATACGTAATTAACGCAGCATCACGAATCGTGAATTACATATGTTCTTTTGACTTTGTCACAGACTGTAACTGTCATAGACATGAACATTGCGTTGGAGAATAAAATGAAACTATTGAACTCGTACTATTTAGGAAAGGGAGATATGTGAGTAGTTTTTTATATTAATCGATTTTTCTATTAAATTTTGTATCAACTATTAAAATAATAATCAAATGACTTCAACATATGAAAATTATTTCTTTCTGATATTTCTATACCTTTATGCCATAGGATAAGATAAAAGCCGCTTCATAATGATACAATTAAACTATCCTCTTGAAGGTAGAAACACAGTTAGATCGTGTTTCACATTTTTAATCCCCTTAGAGATTGCGCTAACAACTTTTTTTCTAAGAGAACCGGTTAAAATATCAAAGTAAAAGCTTCATCCATTTTTCGGCTTAAGCAGAAGTATCAACAGAAATCGACTTTTTTTGCAATAGAAGTAGTTTAATTCTAAGAGAACTGCTTTATCTATTTCTCGATCTGCAAGCAGAAATTTCAAATATATGGAGAGAAATCCATATATTTTCCATCTCTGCTGTATATATACAATTTCATCAGAGTGATTCATTTCTGCTAAAAATAGAGCAATTTCTCGATTGTTTGGCCCAATAGTTCATTGCTGGTCATCATAGATAAATTTATTAATTATTTGAGTGAATCTCTATGCATAAGATAAGTAACTTTGATCCACTAATCCAATAGCCCATATTCAGAGAGAACTAATAAGAATGTCTCCTAACCTTGTCGATTAAGTATTTGTACTAGAAAAATACTAATATTTTTTGTTAGAATTTTACAAAATCTCTGGACTTTTTTGTGTCAATAGCTGATAAAAGAAACAATGGTCCGACATATCCATTGGATTTGTATTAGGATGATGCAGATACTAATGAGATTCATAAAAAACAATACTCTTCTCTTTTCAAAAGATGAATTCTCAAAAGTGAGCAAGTTTTCTGTTCTTAGGGGATGGCCAACACTTACATTATTCAAATGTCAACGATGCTAAGCTATTGTATTTTTATCGAATTCAAGATAATACTATTATGTAATACTGTCAATGCGCATAAAAAGTTATAGAACAAAATCATCTCTTCGGATCTTGTTGAGACTAAGAATATCTCTCCTAATTTTTGTGGTAGAATTCAATCGGATACAGTGTTAGATCTTTCGTCGTAGTGGATATTTAAATACCTATTCTGACTGTCAATGTGAAATAATAGCGCATTCTTGACATTACTACTCACACAATACTCTTAATATAGACTATTCAATTGAAAAAATGGATTAGATAAGAAGTGATTAGAATATTGATATCAAGCATCATTTCACCACTTAATCTTTACATTGTAACTAAATAAACTCTCATCATTCTAGCACCAGCATCATTTGCACAAGCTCGTATTTGGCTTGATGAAAAAATTCGATTCGATCCAGACAAACCACAAGTAGCAATCTATAATATGCCATTTGTCCATCGTCTTCGATCAGGTCATACTTTATCTGTGAAACAGCTTCATCAAGCTCTACAACTCACTATTGGCAAGCATCTCTCACTACATACATCACTTATCTTTGATACAGGCATCAATCAGCTCATGCAACGAGTTATTACACGTAAAGATAAATACACTGATATGTTTTCAATGGTCGAAACTATTTATGAAATGGATGAACAACTGAATGAAATTTTACATGACGAGAAACGTAATCCTCATCTTTTTGATCTTGCTCAAGGTCTTGTCTTTCGATGTCATCTTGTTTACTACAAACAAATCTCCTTAGATCATCTTCTTTCTCACAGAGATCTACTTATCTTCAACTTTCATCATGCCCTATTTGACTTTCCATCGATGGAAGTGTTTCATCATGATCTTAATCAAGCATATACAACAGGTCAATTATCATATGATGACAACACTACTCTGCGTTATCTCGATTGTAAATATAAATACTACCTCTACTTTTCTCTTTTCTAATACATTCTCTTTTTTAATTGATTAATAGATGCTGTCATTGAACAGCAAATGTCAATGACTGGTGCAAGTATGTTTTGGCTTGATATTCTTCACGGTTGTAAACTTGAGCAACCTTTATCATTACCATTTGATCGACATCGTCTCTCTAATGAACATCGAACTGGTCGTGGGACATCCATTTCATTCGATTTTGGTCAAGATCTCTCACATCACTTTCTTACTTATGCATCATCAAATAATATATCACTTGAACAACTTGCACTTGCTACTTATTATGTGTTCTTATTCAAACTAACCAATGGAGAAAGAGATTTATGCATTGGAATAAATACACATGGTCGATATAGAGATGAACTTGGATCTATTATTGGAATGTTTGTGAATGCTATACCTTTGCGATGTCAACTTGATCCTTATTTATCATTTGATAAACTCACTAAGCATGTTCAAGATAACATGATAAACTGTATGAAATATTCATATTTTCCACTTCAACGTATTCTCAATCAACATCCAAATATATCAAATCCTGTATTTCTTAATACATCATTTGAATTTATACCGTCTATGACAAGAGATGAGGAGAATGAAATAATGATCGGTGATAGTCGATTTTCTTTAATACCTTATTCAATTAAGATCAGTGAAGATGAAATAATGAGTAAATTTGATTTTATTCTTAGTTTTCAACATGATCTAAATCTAAATGAATTCTCATGCACCATTAATGCTTCACTTGATTTATTCAATGTTGAAACAGTTTGTACAATTGGACAAAGATTGCAGACAATGTTACATCAACAACTCACATCTTTCAACTGTACAACAAACAAACCTATCTATGAATTATCATCAGTATTATCAAATGAACAATATCTAATACAATCATTGAATAATACACAGATATCATTTCCATCCCCTCTTACTTGTATTCATCATGAATTTGTGTATCAAGTAATGAAACATCCACAAAAGCTAGCAGTTGAACTAGATGAACAATCATTAACATATTGTGAACTCTTACATTATGTTCAAGTATTATCTTTGCATTTGATTAACAAATATCATGTTGTTCCAGGTGAAATCATTTGTCAATGTGTTGAGCGAAGTTTGTCAATGGTAAGTTGATTTGTAGAAGTAACTATTGATGAGAGTCTGAGATTGATTTTTCACTAGGTGATTGGTATTATGGGGATTGAAATGGCTGGTGGTGTTTATTGTCCATTGTCACCTCGAGATCCACAACATCGTTTGTATGCACTCACACAACAAACTCAAAGTCGTCTTGTTTTTGTTCATTATTTAACTAAGACCAAATTCGATGATGATATTGTTTCACTTGACATTAATTCAATATTAAATATGAATGATATGGATGGTAACATGAATTATAATTGCCTTTCAAGTGTGGGAGTGAATTACAATGGGATTGCATACATTATTTTTACTAGTGGTTCAACTGGAACACCCAAAGCGGTTCGTTGACACTGAATTTTTAGATAATTAATTGATTTTCATGCTCTTTCATAGGTTCAAGTTCGGCAAAAGAACTTTATTGATTGTATGCAGTCTTTGGCTTATATCAACGCATTTAATAAAGATGATATAGTTGTACAAATGACAAGATGTTCATTTGACATTCATGTTCAAGAGATACTTGGGACATTGTTAGTTGGAGGCACGTTGAGTATGCTTCATCCAGGTGGAACGATTGATTTTGATTATTTATCCAAAGTCTTACAGAATAAACAAATCACATATCTACACACTGTTCCAAGTTTACTGTATAGTTTTTTTACTTCTATCCAGCAAAATAACAATCAGAATGTCCTGAGACATCTTCGATCACTTTGCAGCAGTGGTGAGTGACTTTCAAATAAATGTCGTTCGGTTATCGAATGTATGCTTATTATTACAGGTGAACCTTTTTCTATTCCTTTAATTGATTTGATTGCAAAAATCCGTATAACAAACTGTATTGTGTGGAATTTGTATGGTCCAGCAGAAGCAACCATAGGTTCTACAATTCATTACGTGGATGTTAAAAATGATACACAGAATATTCCAATTGGGAGACCATTTTATAATTACCGATGTATGATTATGAATCAATATTTACAATCGTCTGTTGCCGGTCAGGAAGGTGAACTGCTAGTGGGAGGAGCGGGTGTGTTTGCTGGTTATCTTGAACGTGATGATTTGACAGCAAAAACTCTTGTTGAAATAAATGGTGAGCTATTTTATCGAACAGGTGATCTTGTTACAATGGATAACAATGGTCTTCTTTATTATCAAGGAAGAAAAGATCATCAAATCAAACTACATGGACAAAGAATTGAACTTGGTGAGATTGAACGATGTTTACTAAACATTACATCTATTTCTGCTTGTGTTGTCATGAAATGGAATGATAATCAGCTAGTTGCTTATGTTCAATCTTTTTCTCATATGAATGAAGAAGAACTACGTCAACATTGTCAATCTCATCTTCCACCACATATGATTCCATCTTTCTTTATCATTCTTGATAAATTACCTTTGAATCCAAATGGTAAAATAGACCGAAAACAACTACCTTCACCCGACGTTTCTCTATCGACTTTGTCATTGTCCGACAAATCTGATACTCCGCTTAATCAGTTCGAAGAACGTATACACACTATTTGGTGTCAAGTTCTTCATTCTAACGAAAATCACATTTCTAGTACCACCAGTTTTTTTAGTGTTGGTGGTCATTCACTATTGTTTATTGAACTTTATCATCATTATCAATCAGTATTTAACTTTGATGCTCATACGCTTTCCATTGCTCCATTTCTTCAACAACCAACGATATTCCAACATTCACAATTACTTCAAACAGTTATAATAAATAATGTCAAGGCAACACAATGGTACACCTTACATATAAATGAAGGTAAAAATATTTACTAGGAAATTATTAAAATAAATTCTATTATTTAATTGACAGGTATTGCCTCTTTTGCTCAAGAGCGTATATTTCTTGATGAACAAGTTCGTTTTTCGAGTGATACTGCTATCTATAATGAACTATTCACTTTACAAATTGCTCAAGGATCATTATCATTAAATCGTTTATTACAAGCACTTCGATATGTTCTGAATAAACATAAAATACTACGGACATCTCTTAAGTTTAACAATGATGATGGTATTTTGAAACAATGCATCACAAATCTACATAAAACATTCACAATAACTATGAATCAAACCTTTAAAAATGAAAATGAACTTCAAGACATTATTTATAAAACAACTACCAATCCTCATCTCTTCGATTTATCAACTGGTCGTGTTTTTCATGCTGAAATACTAAGACACCAAATATCACCAAATGAAAATGAAAATAATAGCAATGAGTTCATAACTGATTCTAATGTTCTCCTCACTGGTTTTCATCATGCAGCATTTGATCGATCAAGTCGTTCAGTCTTTTTCAATGATCTATGTTTAGCTTATAATAATAATGCAATACCAATAGAAGATGATGATGAATCATTGCAATATATTGATTATAGTGTACATGAACGTCTAATTGATATGTCAACATCTCGTGAATTTTGGTATTTACAATTAGAAGAATACAATTTGGACTCTCCGTTATCATTACCAGCTGATCGACATCGCTTATCTAATGATCATCGATCGAATTCTGCTTGTGTCACTCAAATCTCTTTCGATAACGAAATTTCACAATCATTTGTGGACTATGCTTCTGTCCATCATGTGACACCATTTCAGTTGGGTCTAACTATATTATATGCTTTTCTTTTCAAGTTAACACATGGTGAAAATGATTTATGTATTTCTTGTCTTAATGCTAATCGATATCGAAATGAACTACAAAATCTAATTGGAATGTTTGTTTCAACACTACCATATCGTGTTCAACTTGACTCTCATTGGTCATTTGATGATCTTGTTAAATATGTACATGAAAAATGTCTATCGATTCTTGCACATTCACATTATCCATTACAACATATTCTTGCTAGTTTACATATTAATCAATCAAATATTTCATTTCTCGAAACAATGTATGACTTTATTACTATATCGTCACACAGTGGTGAATTATCTTTGGATGGAGCAAGTTTGAAACAAGTGTCATTCGAACAATCGTTTGAAGTGGCTAAGTTTGATTTTATGTTAATATTTGTCTATAATCCAATGTTGGAAAATAATAGATTATCATTTCTTTTAACTTGTTCACATGATTTGTTTGATGAGATTACGGTTACAAATATGAGTCGAAGATTGGAATATTGTTTTCAACAACTGTTTTCATCAGATGAAACTATTAATCAAATTGGTACATGCTTGACATCTATATCAAAATTTAATCTTATTCTACCAGAAGAAACTCAAGAAATGGAAAATGTTATCTTTTGTCGACAGTCACATATTATAAAGGAGGGTATGTTTATCTAGACAAAGATTTTTCTTAATGAACATTAATACTGAGAATGAATACATTGTACAGAGATATCATTGAGGATATGTTTTTACATCGCTTGGATTATCCGAGAAGTGGTGCTCAAGTATAGGGTGAGTGTGTGACTATGGATGGATGTAGATGTGGATTCGTTATTCATAAACATATCTATACCCACACCCACCCTCAAGATTTTTTTCATATATACCAATATGAATCCATTTTTTCAGATGGTTTTCCTGTAGATGATTATGTCATAGGGTACAATCTTCTACCATTTTTGTTCTTTTTATTTTGAAAACCAACATTTGTGACTTAAGCGTCATTTTTCGCTTACAGTACGGATTTATGTGGCCGATGGAACTTTTGTCTAACTCAATAGATTTCACAAGCGATATTATTAATCATATTTGATTGCCTTCTCTTTTATATAGCATCAACATCTTTTGCACAAATCCGACTATGGCATAATCAGTCTATTCTTTTCACTCCTCACATATCACAAGTACCAATCTACAACATGCCCTTTGTCTATCATCTACACTCACACCATACTTTATCGGTACCACATCTTCGTCAAGCACTTCAACTAATCGTTACAAAACATCAATCTCTTCGAACATCACTCATATTTTATGCAGAAAACAATCGACACTTGCAACGAATCATTGATATGAACGATAATAATGGTCAACTATTTACATTTATTGAAAGCCCTTACGAAACACAAGAACAACTCAATGATATCATACATAAAGAAAAATGTATTCCTCAATTTTTTGATGCTGCTCAAGGTCTTGTCTTTCGATGTCATCTTGTTTATTACAAACAAATCTCTTCAGATCATCTTCTTTCTCATAAAGATATACTGATCTTTAACTTTCATCATTCTGTATTTGACTATCCATCAATGAATATCTTTCTTCATGATCTCAATCAAGCATATACAACAGGTCAACTATTATATGATGACAGCACCACTATTCGTTATCTCGATTGTAAATATAAATAGTTCTTATCATTTGCCTAATACATTCTTTTCTTTACTTATGTAGATACTGTTATTGAACAACAAATGTCAATGACTGGTGCAAGTATGTTTTGGCTTGATGCTCTTCATAATTGTAAACTCGAACAATCTTTGTCATTATCTTTTGATCGATACCGTCTTGCAAATGAACATCGAACTTGTCATACAACATCTATTTCTTTTGATTTTGGTCAAGATCTCTCACACGACTTCGTTACACATGCATCATCAAACAACATATCACTTGAACATCTCACATTTGCTATTTATTTCATCTTTCTATTTAAACTTACTAATGGACAAACAGATTTATGTATTGCAATGAACATCAATAATAATCGATATAGAGATGAACTCAAATCAATCATTGGATTGTTTGAGAATATTATTCCAATACGATGTCAATTAGATCCTCATTGTTTCTTTCATCAATTACTTGGACATGTTCAAGAGATAACAACAAATAGTATGAAATATTCATATTTTCCACTTCAATATATTCTCGATCAACATCCACATATTTCAAAACATGCATTTTTGGATACATCTCTGGAATTTCTATCACACAAGAGTAGCAATACAATCATGGTTGGCAATTCTCAACTTGTTCCAGGATCTTTTTCATTCAATATTAATGAAGATGAGATACTAAGTGCATTCGACTTCTCTCTTTCTATTTATCATGATATGAACATGAATCAACTAACATGCACAATCAATGCATCAATTGACTTGTTCAATAGAGAGACAGTGGAGAAGATTTCACAACGATTTCATTCCATTTTAGAACAATTATCTGCATCTATGATTGATACTGAAATAAACAAACCAATCCATGAATTATCATCAGTATTATCAAATGAACAATATCTAATGCAATCATTGAATAATACACAAATATCATTTTCATCGCCTCTCACTTGTATTCATCGTGAATTTGTGTATCAAGTAATGAAACATCCACAAAAACTAGCTGTTGAACTAGATGAACAATCATTGACATACTGTGAACTTCTATATTATGTTCAAGTGTTATCTTTAACTCTTCTTAATGAATATCATGTGTTTCCAGGTGAGATCGTATGTCAATGTGTTGAGCGAAGTTTATCAATGGTAAGTTGATTAGGAGGAATAATTGTTTAAGATAAGAAAACGTTCGTTTGAACTAGGTGATTGGTATAATGGGAATCGAAATGGCTGGTGGTGTTTATTGTCCATTATCACCGCGGGACCCACAACATCGTTTGCATGCACTCACACAACAGACTCAAAGTGGTCTTGTTCTTGTTCATTATTTAACTACGACCAAATTTGATGATGATATTATTTCATGTGATATTGATTCAGTATTAACGAGCTATGTCATTGAATCTGTTATTGATGTAACTCGACTATCGAAAGTTGCAACAGTATCACACGATGTCGCATATATTATTTTCACAAGTGGTTCGACTGGAAAACCAAAAGCGGTGTGTTAACATTGGAATTTGTATCCCCCATTTCTATTCTTCTCCATTCTAACAGGTCCAAGTTCGTCATGAAAACTTCACTCATTATATATACTCATTTGTGAGCGTTACCACATTGAAGAAGGAAGATACAGCTGTTCAGATGGCTCGAAGTACTTTTGACGTCCATCTTCGACAAATTGTTGGTGTTTTATTAGTTGGCGCTACATTGATTATGCTACGTGCAAGAGGAATGGCTGATTTTGATTATCTAGCTAATTTGTTATACAATAAACAGATTACATATTTGAATACTGCACCAGTTTTATTTCAAAGTTTTTTCAGTTACCTTAGTCTGTATAAGAAAACATATGCTGTAACGTATCTCAGATCACTTTGTAGTGGAGGTGAGTGAAAACAAACGCTTTTCGTGATTTCCTTGTCACTGAACTTTTCTATTGCTAGGGGAGGCATTTGCTTCCAAACTGATTGATCTGGTTCAAGAGACCAATATTCCCAATTATACTATCTGGAATTTATACGGTCCTGCTGAAACGACGATTACATCTACATTTCATCTCGTTGATATAAGAGCTTCTACAAAGTTTATCCCAATTGGCAGACCACTTTCAAATTACCGATGTATAATTATGAATGAAAATTCACAACAATCAACCCCGAATCAAGAAGGTGAACTGTGTATAGGTGGAGTAGGTGTATTTGCTGGTTATCTTGGACGTGATGATTTGACATCAAAAGCTCTTGTTGAAATAGATGGCGAACGGTTTTATCGAACAGGTGATCTTGTTACAATGGATAACAATGGTCTTCTCCATTATCAAGGAAGAAAAGATCATCAAATCAAACTACATGGACAAAGAATTGAACTTGGTGAGATTGAACGATGTTTACTTAACACTACATCATCCATCTCTGCTTGTCTTGTCATGAAATGGAAAGATGATTACTTAGTTGCTTATGTTCAAAGTTCCGATGTCAATGAAGAACAACTACGTCAACATTGTCAATCTCATCTTCCACCACATATGATACCATCAATATTTATTATTCTCGATAAATTACCTTTGAATCAAAATGGAAAAGTAGATCGAAAACTTCTACCACCACCTAGTTTTTCATCGTCAACTGATAATATTGATGGTAATGTGCCGCACACCACGTTAGAACAACAGTTACAAGATATATTTTGTCAAGCTTTCCATATTGAATCTCCTCATGTTGATGTTCCTTTTGGTCAACTTGGTGGAACATCATTGGGTGCTATTCTTGCACTCACGTTGATTCGTCAACAGGTGTGCAAGAAGGTTGACATTGGTCTGTTATTTACAAATCCATCTGTTCGACAATTGGCTCAAGCTATAGAACCTTTGTTAGTTTTCGAAGAATCACAAGAAACAACTTGCACAGTCAATGAAATTCATGAAACACATGATCGTCTGACACCTTCATTCGTTATCGAATCTTTAGGTATTGTACTCCTCGTTTGCCAGTGGTTGTTGCCAATCATGATAATTCATCAATGGTGTCCACTTCTTTTTCCTATCTTACCAATATGTCATCTTTTATCCTATGTCATATGTTCACGTCTACTTTCACCACGAAACATTAAAGGTGGCAATATTTTCTCTTGGAGCTATTATCGTTGGTGGTTTTTAGATCGACTATGGGATAATAATACATTCTGGTTGCAACATATGCTTGGTACACCTTTGTACAATTACTATCTTCGTCTTTGTGGTGCTCGAGTTAGTCATAATGCACATATTTATACTCTAACTACTGATGCTCCATGGCTGTTAGATATTGGTGATAAAACTTGGATTGCTGATAAAACAACTCTAAATTGTTTATATTACAATGATAATAATACTTTTACATTGCATTCAATTAAAACTGGTTGCTATTGTTCAATCAGTGCTCGTTCAATTCTGTTTGGTGGAGTTGAAATGCTAAATAATATTATTGTTCAGCCTATGTCATCAGTCAGTGGTTTCATCGCATCTCGAACAATTATCGATGGTGACAAACATAAATCGGTTTCATCAGACATTTCAATCACACATAGTAACAGATCATTCTCAATATGGCACAAGATCTACCAAGTTGTTACAGTCATCTCATTGATTTGTATTCATTGTACACTCTTAGCCATTGTCTACAAAGTTTATTCAGTTAAACAAATACCACTACCTATTAGTATTGCTTTTTGCTGGACTTTATGGTCTATTCTTGCTTGTTTTATTACTCTTCTCCTACTAAAATTCGTAGTAGGTTCTTGTGCTGCTGGTGAGATATATCCAATTGCATCATGGTCATATTTACATAAAGTGTGGCTTCGTCAATTGATTGTATCTAGTTTTCATCATGCCTGGTTACTACCAACTGGATATGATTATCTTTATCCTTTTATTCTCCGTTGGCTAGGTGCTCAAGTTGAAGATGATGTCAAACTTGCAAATATAGACATCTTCTTATCCTATCCAACAAATCTGTTGAAACTTGAAACAGGTGTCACTGCTTTTGGTTATGTGTTAATAGTTCCTACTGAAATAACACTTTCAGGTGATCATCGTGTGGATTGGATAACGCTCCGATCTCATACAAATCTTGCGAACGGATGTTCAATTTTGCCCGGTAGCCATCTTACATCTCATACTATGGTTGGCAATTTGACACGTATCAATCGAGAAACGAATAGCAACTACGGAGATGTTTTCATCGGTGTTCCAGCTCGTGCTATGCCATTTCAAATGCCCATTAGAGAAGCGATGGAAGATCAAATTGAAACTATTTCATTTTGCAAAACATGTATTTCTTATTATATTAGCAAATGTCTTTTTATAGGTATCTATCTATCATGTGGTCTTGTTGGTGGACCAATCATTCATACAATAATTGTATGCAGTCTATATCGATGGTATTCATATACAGATAGTGAAATAATCAAACAAATCGTACAAAAACTGCAGGTCGATCACAGAATTTTTATTTGTTCATTTCTTGGCAATACACAATGGCTAATTCGTTTCTTTCGAGCATATGGTGCGAACATCGGCAACAATGTCATCATACCTGAGGTTTCGTCTCTTTTTGATTACAATTTGTTGACTATTGGAGATCATGTTCGACTTAATATCAATGCTCATATTGTGGTAATACATGCGTTTCTTGTTATTTTCCATATATACATTATTGTTCTCTACAATCATTTTAGTGTCACACTTTCGAACAACGTATTCTGAAACGAGTTCCTGTTACAGTAGGCAAGTCGTGTATACTTATGAGTGGCTCAGTTGTGATGTCGGGTTGTAAATTAATGGGTAACAATCGGCTTTATCCTTTTACACTCATAATGAAAAATGATTTATTGCAACCGAACACACAATGGAAAGGACTTCCTGCACGTAAGTCATTTAGATAGATGAAGCTACGAACACTTGTATTATAATACTATTAAGATGTTAAGTAAAGTTCTGTAAATTTCATTTTGTTCATGATGACGTTTTGTATATTTCTTTATCTACGTTATTGAAAGCATGACTTTCCATTCATTATGATTTCTAAATATCTTGTAATGATATATACTTATTTGACTTTTTCCTGCGCCTCAAAATGAAAAGGAAAAGCTTGATTTTAATATTCAAAAAGTCTGAACTAGACTTCTACCATTGTAAACTTTGATTAAACTGAATACTACTTCAATGAAATCCGAAAATCTAAGATCTACATGTCATACGATCTGATAAATAATATCATACACTTTCTTTTCTCTGCATCTTTTTCTGTGATTCTTTGAAAGTAATATCATTCAAAGTTAAACTGTTCTTTTGATGTTCATCCTATATGATATATATATTCATCATTTTATTGTATTGAATTTCTTTCTTTTAGAATCTTATGTAGCAAAACCAGTATTATCTCGATCTGCACTCATTTGTGATGATGTCGTCAAATGTAAACAGAAATCTAAGAACTTTGACCGACTGTTTTTGTGGAATGAACAAATTTCAAATGTCTATACGAATGTCAATGAACTACAATTTATGAATTGGGGTTATGCAGATTTGGATGAGCATATTAATGACAATACTGGTTACTATTCGGAGAAACTTTATCAACAAGTAAGTGCACACGAATGAAAGAATCAAATACATTTGAGCTGAAATATTTCTGATGTAGTGTCGTAGATTAATTTTTGATATCGAAATTAATTAATGCGGATCTTACTCATGTCATAGATTTGGTTACTTTATTACTTATAAACTAAAACACAAAAATCACAAGAGAAATAAAGCTGAGTATTGACTTAACGAGTATCTTTCTAGTAACAGTTTTAACTTCTATTTGACTGATCATGATAACGTCTTATAACACATTTTACAAGAAGTGAATCAAGAAAAATTTCATACACCAGAAAATAATGTGCTTACTGCATTCTTTCAGAATATTATCATATAGATGATGTGGCATATAACGACATTCTGTTTGAATATTTTTAGTAGAAATCTCTGATAAACGCAAAATGTGAAACAAAATTTTATTTAAAATAGAGAAAATCTTGTGATAATCTTTAATAAGACTTCTGATAAGAAGAAGTTATTTTACCATAAGTATTCGATCGGTGATAGATAATTAATCACAATATTATTTTTGAGAATATTAACGTAAGATTTAAATCTTTTCTTCAGAAATATATTAGAGAATATGTAGAACTACTAATTCCGTCTTTATCTACTTTTGTATTTCTTAAAAAAAGCGAGCAATGAATGAAATCATGAGTGACAAATGTAGTAGCAATCACCAATAGAAGATCTTGTTTTTCATTCTAGATTCTTGCTAATATAACACTTACAGATCAAAATATACTCGAAGTGGGTTGTGGCAGAGGTGCTGGTGCTGCCTGGTGTGTTCGTAAATATGCTCCTCGTTCTTATGTTGGAATGGATCCTTCTCGAAATGTCATTAACCTATGTCAACAAACTTACTCAACAACTCCTCGACTCTCGTTTATGGTAGCTGGTCTAAAAACCTATTTATCATTTCAAAATGAATCAATGGATGTTGTTCTTTCGATTGAAACAACAAACATTTTTGATGAAACACAAGCAGTGAAGGAATTTGTCGATGAAATTACTCGTGTGCTTACTCCTAATGGATACTTTCTCTGGTGTGGTTTGTGTAATGTAGATGGATCAAGTTTATTGATTGATTATTTAACAGCAAATAATGGATTTATTATCAAAGAAAAGGCCAATATTACAAGAAATGTTCTTCATGCACTTGATATGCAAAGTAACTCACGTGCTGATTTTATTGACCGTTATATTCAATCTGCAGATCAAGAATATTGTCGTCTATTAGCTGGATTACCTGGCACTGAACTTTATGATAATATGCAACAAGGAAGGACAGAATACTGGCGAGTTGTATTCCGCAAGAAGATTACAACCGATACACCTCTTATTTAACAATAACATTTACTCTTTTTTTTTAACTAACCCAAATATTTTTGCTTACTAGATAGCCGCATTTTACTCAAGCCTTTTTCAATATTTTGCTTTTTTTTATAATAAATAAACAGAAAGTAACAACTGTAGAATATTTTGCGAGGATGTAGATATAAGATCAATATATACATATCTCATATCCTCGTAGTTCAAATAGATATTTTCATTTAGATCACAATTCACTCTAAAAGAACGAACTATTGTTAGAAAAACAAAAAGACTCACCGGCATAGCCAGATATTAATGTCTGACGAGTTCTCCTGAGTATCTTGAATTTTCGAGACAAAGTATCAAAAGACAACTATTATTTATTTATACTAAGATAATGTCTATATTTTGCACTTTATTTTATTTTTATCTAAAGGTTACAGAAGTTTGATTGGCAAAAAGAACATGAAAACAGGGTCTGGGTGGGTATTAGATAAAAATTAACACCCACACTCATACTCTCGTGATTATAAATTGATTTTGACGAGATACTATAGATAACTGAATAAGATTCATTTTCTTGAGTCTTGGTATTGCAATTATTAAGCTTCTAAAGAGTTTTTTTCACAGATATTAAGACTCCTAGCAGAATGGTATTTTGATTTATTATTTGGACTTCAAATCATTTTCCTTATGATTATATCTACCGATGAATATCAAAGATTAAATTTTTAGAAGCAAAAAGGTAAATAATGAAAACCTACAAGTTTGAATTCAAATAATCATTTATTAAACATTAAAAAAAAATAAGAATTATTCTTCATCGAGCAAACAAAAATTCACTCTTTATTTTTCTATATTTTCACTTGTCATTACGAGCACACAGTATAATAACATACCAGACAAAAAAAAAGCATACAAAAAATAAGAGATTATTGAAATACTGATACTTTTGTTTTTTGTTCTAATGTACCATCAATAGAAAAATTATCTATAAACGTACATATGGCTCATTGTTACATAAAAACAAAGAATATATTATAAATATGTATATAACATAAAAAATATAAGAATGTCAAAGTTTTTATATTTAAGAAGAAAAAAATATAAGTTTTATTTCGATATGAAAAAAAAATTGAATAGAATACAATCATTTCCCAAGACTAAACGAAATAAAAATATAGAATATCAAAAAATATGAAACAAAAATATCTTACCGATCCCAATCACCGAAAATTGTAGGAGCTTGTTGAGCTGCTATTAAATAAAAGATAATAATAGTTAATGATCAAAAATAACATACGTTTTCTTTGTTCACCAAATGTTGGTGCATAGGACGATAATTTTGGAGCACGAGCTAGACAATATAAAAATAATTAAAATTTTATATCATAATTTTTACATACACGCTGAATTACTATTATCTGATGGATCCATAAGCCAGTTAAAATTATCACCACGTACTGTTTGTTTAGGATTAATACCTATGAGAAGAAATTGTTTTTTTGTTTATTTCAAAGAATAACAAAAAAACAACATTTACCTGGTTTATACCTTGAGTTACCCAAATAATATTGCTTAGCAGATGATTTCGTTGTTGATTGAGGTGCTCTTGTTGCACTTTGATCTCGACTATGTGTATTAGAAAAAAAGTCATCAGGATCAAGATGAGTTGTTGGTTTAGTAGAAACATTTGTTGTTATTTTATTTGAAAATAAATTTGATGATTGATTTTTAGTTGTTGATCGATCTTCATTTAACCAATCGGTTAAACTGTCTCTTCTTGTTGCTGATGATGCAGAATTTTTTGACAGTCCTATTGGATTTAACAAGCCTTTTCCTGACTGTTGAGGTTGAATTGATCGACCTTGTAAAATCGCATCAATATCAAATGATTGATCAACTGCTGGTTTAGCTGATTCTTTAAAATTTGATGTTCGATGTTGTTCAGGTATATGAGATGAATTTGGTTTAGAAATATTTCCTTTTCGATTATCTACGAAAGATGATTCATATTTTTTCTGCGAAGATATATTTGATGTTGGTAATTTTTGCGGTTGAAGATTATTTGCTTTTATAGTAGGCTTTTTTGGTTCTTCAAATTCTTTTAATAATGCATCTAAATCTTGCATATCATCAAGATCAGCTGGAGTCTTGTTCTAAAAAAACAAATATCATTCGCTTTTTTTTATATAATTTCATATTTCTCTTACTCCAGCTACTTGCCAATCATCTGTAAATATATTATTTTTTGATTCCGATGATCTTGCTGAATTTATTGGTGATGAATTATTTCCAGTTGGTGCTTGTGAATATGTTGTTGGTATTAGATCTTGACTGACTTTGAAATAGGAATGTTTTAAACACTAAAAGAAAAAGAAATTGAATTAAGATTTTCTTTCACAAAAACAAATATGTTATACGTGTGCTGCAGTTGGTCGTCTTTTAGGATCCCAATGAAGTGTTGCTTCAATTAAATCAATACCATCACTATTTGAACTATGAATTATTTTTTTAAGATCTGTTCGAGCACATTGTGGCCACCGAAATGATAATTTAGTTGCTAACATATATCCTTCAGCCCATTCATCCTAGAAGTTTGAAGTTTTGTATAACAAAAAATAAGAAGAAAACCAATGAAACTAACTCTATTTGGTGTACCCATAACAGCACAAATTTTAAACATTTCATCGATTTCACTACTGCCAGGAAATAATGGTCTTAATGTATATAGCTCTGCTGCAATACATCCAACTAAATAATTCAATAGATCATGTATATATATAGTTAATAGTATGATATAGATTTTTACCAGCCCACATATCAATCGGAGATGTGTATGAAGTAGAACGAAGAAGTACTTCGGGTGCACGATACCATCGTGTAGAAACACTGAAATATTTTTATTTTTTTTTATTTTTCTTACAAAACAAAACACTTACTAATCAGTATAAGGAGGTCTAGAACGAAGTTCACGAGCAAGACCAAAATCAGCTAATTTAATTAATTCTACACCTTTACACAAGATATTTTCTGGTTTTAAATCACGATGAAAAAATCCTTAAAAACAAAATTGTCATTTTGTCATATTTACTTTTTCAATAAATAACAAAAATAACACTTGACGTCTCTACTTTTACTGGTAAGGTAACAATATACAGAGCATTGAAGAAGTGGTAGTACTAAAGTGACAGAACGATTAGGGGAGCTAGAGAGACCAAGCAGTAATGTCAAAGTCGAAAGTTGAATTCAAGTATTTAACTACTCAGTTATTTAACTATTCAATTATTCAGGTATTCAGTTGAGGGTGAGTGTGTGATAGATATAAAACCTGCACGCCACACCTTCACCCACATTCACACCTACAAAAACACGATTTTGACTTTTTCAAATTTCGAGATAATTAAATTGAAAAGCAAAAGCAAAAGTTTGGCGCCACTCCTTCCTAACAAATATTTTACAGCTGACGATAAATGATGAATCAGCGAAATAATTAAACAGTCAACCAATATCTTTCTCTTAAAACATGCTGAGAAAATTTAATAGAGGTTCCATAGTGATACTGATCATTATGTTGATCGATTTTTTCAAAAATCGTGAATATCGAGATTTAGAGGACTGCTTGGCATTTTAACCTGTATCCTCGACTTGTCGCGATGCAATCTAGTTTTCTTATATAATTTATTCATAAATGTTTTCTGAAAATGTTTCTTTGCTAATAATTATTTTGTGCATATTTCTGTTTAAATTGATCTTTCATTTCATAGAAATCTTCTTCTTATAAATGAGATCATATTGATTAATTGATAGAAAAACTTCTATACTGATATAATGTTAAAGTTATTTATGAGACTATTATGGGTAAGTTCACAACTTGGATAAGAAAAGACAATTTTCAATGATTATTTTTCGTTTCTCCTTTGAAGAAATCATTTTTTCTCAAATATATTTCTATGAAATAAAAAAGTTTTCTTCTCTAAAATGAATCGATTGAAGGAAAATTGTTTATTTTTATTGATTCTTTGAATCTAATAGAAAAGATTTATTCAGATAAATTTTACACTTTTATCATTATTCATTCTCATCCAATATTCATACCAATCACATTGATATATTATTTTCAAATTCTCATTACTTTCATAATCATCTTTCAATTGATTCTTTATTGGGAATAGTTTAGTTTTGATGAATAATAATGATCGTTAGGAATTTAGTCAAACATGCAAGATTATCATGTTGAGGATATTGACAGAGATCCATTCATACACAAAGATAATTCAAATAATGTGATCTTCTTCTCTTTGACTAATAATTTAATTTTGATTCAAGTTGATTTCTCTAAATCTTTAATGTGATCCTCGAAAATATCCATGATGATAATCGATTGAAAAACCATCTAAGATCGGATTAGATAAGATTACAAAGAAAAATTTCTCTGATATCCAGACGGTATTTATCAGATTTTGTCTGTTTTCTTCAAAACATGATAAAACAAGAAGATTTTCTCTAATCGAACAAATTATTTCAATATATAGAAGATTTGACGTAGAAGGAAAATAAATAATGAATAATAGAATACTTCAACAAATCATAGGTTTTTGTTTAGACCGTTAATTTCTTTACCGACGATTTTAAATTAATAAAATAAGAACATAATTTCGAGATTAGTATTGAGAAATATGTCTGAATACTAATTTAGAAGTTAATTATTATTTATTAAGATTTTATTAAATATGTTGTATCATTATACCTCAAATTATAAAATGCTTTTTCCATTGAAGTAAATCTCATTATTTTTCTCATCGAGTATTTCTTTGCCTAGACAAAAAGAAATTTAAATAAATGTTTTTCAATAGAGAAACTAAGCTTGTCTTATTGAGCAAAGATGTAAATAAACAATCTTTTGAAAAAAAAGAACATTTACTTTTATTCAATTTCAATTAGAATTATGATTGAATATCTCAAATTTGTTTTTAGAGAAAAATATTAAAAAGAAACAATGAGAATATTTTCTGATTAATTTAATTTAATAA